TATAAAGGTACCAGCAGCATTATTTTCTTATTTTCTTGTAAAAAAATAAAAAGTAATACAACAAGAAAAAAAAAAAGGTAATATAACATCTTTTTTTTCTTATCAAAAAAAAAAAAGGTAAATACAACAATATCATATTTTCTCATTAAAAAAAAAAAATAACAAGTATTTCTTGTCAAAAAAATAAAAGATATTTCTTAATACAACAAATATTTTTTTAATACAAACTAGGAATAACTGATCTAATTATAATTTTTATTTTTATAATATGGTAAGCTTTAACATAAATTTAGGAATATTAATTTTAAGATATGATTCATACACATTTGAAATATCTCCCTGTCTCTAACAACTGATCTAATTATAGTTTTTATTTTTAGAATATGGTAAGCTTTAACATAAATTTAGGAATATTAATTTTAAGATATGATTCATACACATTTGAAATATCTCTCTGTCTCTAACAATCTCTTCCATTAAATTTATTCTAGAATTCTAAAAAATTATATTTTTCAAAATTTGAAGTGTTATTTCAAAAATTGACGCGCATTCGAATAAATTATATATTGATAATCAAATATTTTATTTATTTATTTGCATTATAAATCTTGTAATGTATTATTTTTCTTGCAGTTGTCAATAATACATTTTATATTAAATGATATTATAAAATATTTTAAAATTGTTATTATTTATATAATAAAATATAAACCAACAATTTTCGTTGCAATATATAATATAATAGTTAGATAGGTTGTAATAATTTTGGATTATAGTTAGTTAGGTTGTAATAATTTGGCTTTTTTTTTTTTTAGTGGATTAGGGTTTTCCGCCAATTCGAGATTTTAGTGGCCATTTTTCATCAATTTAATCCATTATTTATTGTCTATGTATGATTGTATACTTTATCCATGGTAATTCTATGTTTTTTGTTTTATGTGATGCAAATTTAATAGTTAATATAAGTTCATACAGGGAAAGAACATCTTAATTATTCGCAAATTGATTACAAATGAAAGTTAATAATGTAATACCCGTATTTCTTATTGGATTATTAAAAAATAACATTTATAATGAATTGTCATAATTTTTTTGGATTTTTTTTAAGGCTTAATTGGACCGATTCGGCTGATTCCCGATCTGGATCGCCAATTCACCAATCCGGATGGGTTTTTGAGCTGCCCGATCCGGGGCACCGATCCGTTTTTTAAACCACTGCTTCAAACTATAAGTATCCAAAGGTCACCAGAATAGTGATAAGGGATCCTAGAAAGGAAAATTATTTGATTGATCCTACTCTAGTCGTTTAGAGAAACAAATATTGTCAAGACTAAATTCAAGCCTTCTAAAACACTCGCACCTCATAAAGGGGCTAGGGTCATGGTGGTAGCACCCCACACCCTAGTCACCACGTTGTGGTTTCCATTCCCACTACTAGCACCACCTCTCTAATACCTTCAAAAAGCTAAAAATTTCATAAATAAAAAAAAAACACTCGCCCTCAGAAGGTAAATGGAGACCGAATGTTTTCCATACTTGTTCATCCAAACTCTAAATAATGTCCCTCGTGAAAAAAAGGGGAAGCTCTGGGAAAGCAACACCAGTTGGAAGAGCCTATAACATGCATTGCTCACGAAATTCTCAAGCTCAAAAATCTAGAAGTGCAAGGTAGCCTTGGAGGTCCAAAGGAAGATCCATGGTAAACCTAGAGTTTCAAATCCATAATAAGGATTAAATAGGGACCAAACTTTTTCACTCCTTTAGATGAGACAACCAACCTTGCTGCCCAAAGTTTACAACAAAACTCCTCTTAGATCCCAGCAAGGTACCGGGACTGGCCTCGGCGAAGGTACTCTTCCCTTGGCGGAG